ACCACTACCACATCATCATCATAACCACTACCACATCATCATCATGACCACTACCATATCATCATCATCATGACCACTATATCATCATCATCATGACCACTATCATATCATCACCACCACATCATCATCATGACCACTATCACATCTTCATCATGACCACTATCATCATCATCATCATTATCAACACCACCACATCATCAGCATCATGACCACTATCATATCTTCATTATGACCACTATCATCATCATCATCAACACCATCATCATCACCACCACATCATCAGCATCATGACCACTATCATCATCACCATCACCACTAAGCATCACCACCATCATCATCATCATCATGACCACTATCATCATCATCATTATCACCACCACATCATCAGCATCATGACCACTATCATCATCACCATCACCACCATGTTAGTATCAATAACTTTACCAACCTTTTCCATATCAATATCATCTGTCTGCTCATTAGTCTGTTCTTGAGCATAACCTCCATATGTCTGGTTATACATTCCTTGTGTCCCATCAGCATCATAATATCCAGGATTCTCACTATATGCTCCATATCCTGACTGGATGGACAACAAGAAAGGTATGTCAGGGTAGATCATTGAGCAGAGTCCTCATGGTGAGGGCATAGGCTAGTGTTAGGGGTATTATTGCAATGCTGACTGGGGTACTGTAGCTGAAGCACTGCTAGAATAAGAGAATCTGGATTGAAGTGTTCTGGCACCTAAAGACTTCACATCCACCCCATAGTCCATGCATGTGACAGGGACTACCCCAAAGTTTTAAAAAATGGAACTAAAGAGCAATGTAAATTCTAAAGAGAAAGTTATATCCAACCAACTTTGAAATCATCACCAAACAAAAGTGTAAGTAGTTTGCTATTATTATGATAACTTCATAAATTATGTCCATTGAGTTTGTTTGATGCACTGTTCTTTGTTCTGCAGTTTTCTCCTCTGAGTGTGAGTTGAGTGATGTAAATAGTGAATGTAGTGGTAGTGTGTGTGGAGCAACTTCATAAAAAAGCCCTTTATGAAATATGAAATATAAACAGATTATAGGATCCAAATATTCCTTACATATTGTTGACTAGGACCTGCTGTTGGCTGATAGTAAGTCGTAGAAGCACCTTCACTAGTATCGTAGTAATGAGAAACAGCTGATGTACTTCCATAAGGACTTCCTTCTCCTACATATGATACTGAAGCATGGGCACTCTCTACCCCAGGTTTCCCAGAACTCATAGGAGCACTGTACTCTGTACTGTTAACTTCAAGGCTACCCGTAATTGTCTCTGATTTATTATGTGTTTTCGGCACATCTATTGGATTTTCATCTCCCAGAATGTTCACACTCATCACAGACGTCTCTAACTTAATTTTCTTAACGTCTTTTGGTACATTTGTGTCTATGACACTCTTTTTCTCACTAAAGCYGAAGAAGGCAACTGGCTCACCATCATCTTCATCGCCACTTCCATCGTCTTCTGATTTTTTTCCTTTTTTAGCATTTTTCTTTGCCGGTGCTGGTTTTTTGGTGAGTGTATGTGGGATGAGAGGTCTGTTGGACAGTTTAGCTATGGGTTTGTTAGGGTTATATGAGGTTGTAGTGATGCTGTGTCTTGGTTTTGGAAGAAGTGAAGAGAGACCTGAACCAGTCTGACAATAGATCAACATTAAAGAAACATTATAGACTCATTGAAATAATTCCCAATCTGGGAGTCAAAAAAAAAAAACGATTTCCCTTCTCTTGAAGTAATTAATACTTTTCATTATTTTGACCCCACAGGTAGGGAGGGATTTGGTGACATTAAACAAGTAACTCTACTCAATTTTGAGAAATAGGATAAGTTTCTTTAATCCAAACATGTTTTGGCGTACATACCGCCATCATCAGTGAATGTTAATGATGTAATAAATGTATAACCTAGATTATATATAGTTAATAAGAGCACTCCATCACATGATGGTAGATTTAAGGGTCAAACCCACCACCATAATGACGAGAGATAGCAATGTCACTGGCAGTGCAACACCTGATTGATTTTAATGTATATATTTCTTTAGTAGCAAATAAGAAGGAACTTACTTTTGATTTCATGGGCTTCTTGGCAGTAGGTTCTTTTTCATCATCATCATCTAAATCATCCTATAAAAACATACATTTTGATTGCATTACTTATTCCTGGTGCATTGATTACATCATTGCTACTCCCTGGAACAAATCAAAGGTTTCTCCACACTTCATCACTACTAACCAATATCGAGGGACATACAAGGGCCACTGAGGATGTAAAGAAACCCTGGCAGTGACCACCCTCAGTGTCTACATCTCATACTAGCCACCTCTCGTTCACAACTCATTGTAAAGCGCCTTCGAACATATGCATATGGAAAAGAGCACTATATAAATAGATATCATTATTATTATTAAAGGTTTGACTGGAAAGGGTGGGCCTAACGCCTGGTGTGTGGGGATAGGTGATGGGGGGGGGGGGGGGGGGGG